ATAAAATCAATAATAATGAAATAAAATTCAAATTGCACGTCACTTTATTACGTTGTAATTAATTTTTCAAGATAATGAAATTAATTTGAAATAAAATTAAATAGATTTATTGTCTGCACGTTTAAGACTAAAATCAAAGTCTACAATCTACCCAAAACATGAAAAAATCTCATTGTAGCATCACAACCTAAAATGTATATGATAATCATTTATTAATTGTATATGAAGATATCAGTGACAAATGTAAGAGAAATCATAAAAGTATTCAAATTATAAAAAAACTAATTTCTAAATCATACTCGAAACATTTACTGGCCAAAGTCCACATTAAAGTTTTTCTAAATCGATATGTTTTCTTTTTTATTCAATGATACCTAGTAAAAATTGTAATGTATGCCCAGGAATTGCTACAAAAATAATTAAGACAAAAATATTAGTTAAGAGTATAGCACAACTGGAAAGGCAACATACTGGGTTGGGGTTGTCTTATTATAGCCTTTTATTAATTTAGCAAAACAATTACGAATGTCTTTGTGTTATAATGGACAAATTGTAATTGAAATAGAAATAAAATTAAAAAAATGACATTAATTCCAAAATCCTAAAATCCTAAAGGGGTGGATCACTACTGGTTTGCCTTACTATAGCCTTTTATTAATTTAGCAAAATAATTACGAATGTCTTTGTATTACAATAGATAAATTGTAATTAAAATAGAAATAAAATTAAAAAAATGACATTAATTCCAAAATCTTGAAATTATAAAGGGGTGGATCACTACTGGTTTGCCTTATTATAGCCTTTTATTAATTTAGCAAAACAAATACGAATGTCTTTGTATTATAATGGACAAATTGTAATTAAAATAGAAATAAAATTAAAAAAATTACATTAATTCCAAAATCCTAAAATCCTTAAGGGGTGGATCACTACTGGGTTGCCCTATTATAATCTTTTATTAATTTAGCAAAACAATTACGAATGTCTTTGTATTATAATGGACAAATTGTAATTAAAATAGAAATAAAATTGAAAAATAACATTAATTCAAAATCTAAAGAGGTTGATCGGAAAATTTAAAATTGTTAGTATCGTTGAAGACTAGAGTTCTCACATAATCAGTTTTGAATTAACATTATATCCTGAAGATTTATATTAGTGATAAGAGATGAGATAAGTTCATAAGGTGCATGACCTATCAACAATGTTTGTTTACAAATGTTGCATTGTCGCATAATTGCATTTCTACAGGTCGATCAATAAATGAATGTGATCAATCTAGATCGTAATACGATATTATTTGTATCCACCGTTCGCAAATTGCTTATGTATGTGCATATGAGTGCATTAGAGTGTACCTGCCTAGATGTACGATACTTGTAATTCTATATATTCTTACGCCTACTTAGATCAATAACATATTAAGTAGCACATAGCTCGTTCAGGACGTGGGAAATCTTTTTTGCATATCAACAATGAGATAATAAGATAATCTCGAGAAATTACAGGAAAATTATGCTTTGATTGTATATACATCCAGTGTTTGCTTTTTAATTGCATTATTCACGTGTGTTGATGAAAAACATTTGGATCGTGATTTTAAATTAATTATTGTTATTTGTTAAAAATTTCATTTCGATCGCATAATCTTTTCACACGGATTTTTCTATGAATAAACAAAATGTGATGGAGTTTTAACGAGATGCCTATTATCTGAAAATTAATTCAGAATAATTCTATGTATATAATACTTTTGTGTATAAGTGCACTAATGCATCAAATACATAAATTATTACTTATAATTTCCAGTATAAACTTTAGTGTAGGATAAACTTTATACCTCTGCTACCACCTTCTGATTTCTCATGCTTTAGTGCTAAGTATGCATGTGTTTCAATATTTGTATATATACACACACACACATATATATATATATATATATATATATATCTATACAAATAAATATATTATATGTATTCACATATGATGCACTTTTGTCAGTGTTGTTTAAAATAGCATGTAACTATTCTGTACCTTCATGCAAGTATTGCAAGTATGCAAATATTTGAGAAAATCTGTCTGAAAGTATATAATTTTTTGTTTATACTTATTTTGGTACGTTATTAATCTAGTTTTGTTATATGAAATATGCATTTTTGCACATATCTTATCAAATTCACCAGAACTGGATAACCGATTCTACTATGAATAGTGCGATTAAGCATCCCCATACATAAGGCAATTTATCAGGAATATGAAAGTTCAGGAATATCGAATTAAATTAACAAAAAGTACAATGACATTAACATCCAATTTATTGCTAACCTATTTTCTATATATTTTTACTATAAGATCGATAAAAAATTAATCGATTTTTCTCACTTCATTTATTATTATATTCAAAGTGCGCTAATTAAAATAGCATCAAACTTACTATTTACAATCACTATATAAATTCTTATTGCATTTATTTCATCACCGAGTGTAATAAACGAGAATTATACTGCCATGTACAAGGTTCTTGGAAATATTTACTTACTATACATAAATAAATAAAAATGTAATAAAATCGATGAAATTGGAATGCATAAAAGTTGTGGGAAATCGATCGATGATCAATGAAACTGAAAGTAATGAAATATTTTAATACGTGCAAATTAGTTAAACGGATGGTATATTTAGTTGTTTGTGTGGTTTGCTGTTTGTTAAATTTATACCTACCTTATATTCAAATTTGTTTTGGGTTCAAATGTGACTTCACGTAGGTGTACATCTGTTCCGAAGACCCGTACTCCAAATAGAGCAAGCGCGGTGAAATTACAAGCAATTAACCAGATCGGTCTGAGGTCAATACGAGCGGGGGTCAATCTTGACCTTCCACGATCCCAGATCTCTCAGATGGGCCATGTAGCCGGTTCATTGCATTGTTGTTCTTTAGTCAGATCGTGTTCCCCTTTTCCTTATAACGATGTTTGTTCTCAAAGCCAAAGATTTTGCAACATCTTTGTAGCTATTTGTGCTGGGCGCAAATTTGTTCCCAGAAAATTATATTTTTAATAGATTTTGCGTGAGATCTAGACGAATTGCTGTCGAGTTGCATTGACGAGGCATTAAAACGGTGTTGAAATAAATCAAATAGGTATTATTGGATCGTGATAAAATAAACAGTATCCTTGAGATTATGAATGGATGGATTCATTGTGATATTAATTATTCTGAGAGGACGTTAAATTGATAGAAAACAAATATTTTAAAACACTCTCAATATATAATAGAGTTTGATTAATTTCTAGTGTTCTCGACATGTCTCCAGATATTTACAATAAACAATACAATTTGCTTACAATTGTAATTATATTTCAATTAAATTATGTTTATAATATCATAGTTTATAATTCTGATGGAATTGATGATTAAGAAAGCATGAGTAGAAAATAATTTTCTGTGTCTTCAAATCATTTGCTTATGAAGTATTATGAGAATTTAATAAGTGTATAAATAATTATAGTATACACAGAAAAGAATAATGGGCAGCTTAATAACCTTAATAAGTAAAATGTTGTTTAACTCATTCAAATCCGATTTTCAAAAACTCACATTTGGTGCTATTTTTTAAACTTATATCCGAAATGGCTAGACCTGGCCAAAAACTAATCAGCACTTTATCAATACGAGTAGAATGTTTTTAAATTATTCAAATTCGTTGATCCGTGCTCTCAAAAACGTCGACGAAAAGTCAACATGGGCATAAAATAAAATTAGGTGTTTAATACAAATCTATTGACATTTCTCTTATCTTTGAATTCAAAAACTGAAAAAAACTATATATTTCTTGGTACGTTCATATCGAAGAGAAATGGAATATTGTTCTGTATTGATAAAAATTAATTTTCATCAATACAGATATATATATATATATATATCAAAATTAGTTGTTTTTATGTACTTTATGAGTTTATTGGTCTATGCATTACATGGATCTTATCATACAACTTTATGTACATTACGCGAAATAGATCAGCAAGATATGCTAGCTAACGATTGATACTTTTTAAACTAAGCCATTAAACTAATCACGTACAATCTCTATTAGACATTAATATAAAATGTAATAACGTGAATTTTCCCATCGTAAAGATAATCTGTTCAGGCATCACTAACAATAAGTATTGGGATGTCCTCGAAAATCGGTGAAGGTACCCGAATCCAGCGCATCTCCGATTTAACAGTTCAGCCACCCACTGTCGTCCAAGAAGAAGAAGACCATCTAAGTTTGCTCCTACGTTATTTAAATTCCGTTTTGTTTTGTAACCGGTGGGACTTGATAATTGCTGTTATTTTGCGATTGCAACATTTTCTGCAATGATTAGATTATAGGTCGACTAATCATTGATAATTTGGCCTTGATTCAGTTTTAAGATCTCTTGGGTTCAAACGAATCGCAACACAGGTTCACCGTTCTCGATTTAGATTGATGGCTAGCGAAAATTTTAGAGTACGAGTATACGTTGGAAATGATAATAACAATGGTCGAGAACAAATTAAAGAAAAACAACACAAAAATTTACTTGTATATCTTATTTAATAACAACTCTAGCTTAAAAGCTTAATCATTCCCAAATTTTTAAGACGCTTTATAATTGCTTTATCGAGTCATTCTTGACACATTTGATCCTAAACTGTGCTTTATTATGCAAGGTTCATAGTGATCAGGTTAAAGTTGTTGGTGTAAAATGTTATTTTTAAATGCACTGCCATGTTGAACTTATCTTTACATACATACTTCATATATTGTATTTTAATAATAAATGAAAAAGAAAGTAAGTTTCCATAAACCACAACACTAGCCATTGGTTTACTTTTTATCTCACCAGTTATATTTAACGAAAAAACTAGCAGAAAACCATTAAATTTATTGTCTTTGTCGATGATGCAATGCTAAAACATGATTTTACCATTAATTTTCGTAACCGTTAGTGATGGCAAAATTTTTTTTCTAGGACGACATCGACAGGTGTGCCCCAAATCCGTGTCAAAATGGAGCTGAGTGCCTGAACACGCCCGGAGGATATTATTGTCATTGTCCTGGAGGACTTACCGGAAGACATTGCGAAGGACCGAGGCATCCTGTACTAGGTAAGTCGTAATAAAATTAATTTGTAAATTAAATTTTATTTTTAAGTTTTTAAAGGGCTACTAACGAATTAAATATATTGGAAAAATAAAAAAAATGGCGTGAAAAAAAAAGTTTTTGAGAACTGTGTTATATGCAAAAAAGGCAATAAATTAGATTCGTGAAAAATGAAGAAATTTATGTAATTAGCATAAATTTAATCTAAAATTATATATAATTTTACACCAATTCTACACATTTTAATTTTTTATGTCATTTACTTTCGGAAGCTTCATCTTATTCCAGTATGGAAAGAATGTTATAATCGGCTTTTCAGCAGCTTATATGTTCATCGTTTTCATTTTATTATTTTATGTGAATTTGATTATTTTTGCTGCAAATTAAAATTGATATTACATTTTCCATTAAAATCAAAGGTTAATTAAACATTCTTAAAGTGATAGCTCAGAAAGTTATTTGATCATTTTAATTATTTTTACTACATAAATTCCATTCTAAATAATTAAATATAATTTGATTCAATGAGATTGCATTTATGAATTCAATCAATTGCTAAAAGTTTATAACATTCGATTTACAACATAGTTTATCCTTTGGAAATTTAGGACTTTAACTTTCGATATTAAGTTATACCGTAGCACTTCAAAATGATATACCTTTAAAACCGTTAATATTCACATTTTTCTGTTAAGATCAATAAAATTATTTAAATATTGTTAATTTTTTTTGCTAATCATTTACTCAAATCCTTGAACTCATTTTGCTTTAATTATAATTATGATAAGGCCAGACACTTAGTGGTGATGAAAAACAATATAGTTCTTTTTCAAGAACTTCTGGCTAAATTGGATCATTAATTTAATATGTTCTAATTAAAAAAATTTTAGGACAACAATAATTAATATAGTTAGTTTACATATATTCATTTTCTGCATTTAATTAAAATAAATCATATTCCCAGGAAAATAATTATAAATTGCGTAATTACAAATGACACCAATCTGCAAATCATAACTAGTCTGATCGATAATTACAGTATCATTATATCAGATAAATTTAATTTTAGTATTTTTCACATATTAGTGTGTTTTTAATAGCCGTAATTAAAATAATATTAGCTCTAAACAGTTAGTATTTTATATCTGAAGTGTTATGAATTTCTGTCAATACATTGCGTTTGCATTAACCTATAAGATATCATAAATGCTAGTATATAGAACTTTGTAATTAGCATTTGTCATGTCATATTACACCGGACATGCGACGTAAAGCTTCTAATTGCATAATGTTTGTCCACATCCACATCATCATATATATGATTATGTATGCAATATTAAAGACAGTCCTAAGGCTGCATTATGCAACGCATCTTAACTTGATTATTATAATAATGAATGTTTTGAATGATATATTAGGCAACTGAGTTGCATGCGTACTTTTGTATCTGCTCAGGATGCAATCGGTGTACTTGGAGAAGATTAGGATCGGTCAACAGTAATGAATCGACAATACGCCTCTCGAAACGTTTTCAATGAAGTTTACAAAACAGAGAATAGTCACAAAAGTCACAAAACAGCCGTGAATGGGAGTTTTTTCATTGTTGTCGAGGTGTGTTTGCGTTTTGTGGCTTTTGTGTTTAGGTTTAAAGGCCTATGAATAGAAAAATCGTAAAAACAATAGGTTCATTTTAGAAATCGCCGACACTAATCGTCGCCGCTGCTGGATTTGTTTTTATGAAATAATATATGCGTATGGCTTTTGTTAGAGCTATTCGGCGATGTAAATATACATAGTTATCATTATACTAGGAATAATGTACCTCTTAGTGCAGCAAACCCAGTTTAGGATTGGAAATTATTCTGACATAAAGAAGAATTAGTGTTTGTTTTTATTTGCTAATTTAAATCAATGTGCTTCTAATTGAGTGGTGTACACTCGGATGTGATGAGCAATTTGTAAGAGATATTAATTTTTGACCTCATGATGGTCTTTATGAAAAACAGCGTATTATTACTATTATTGCGATTAATTTTGTTTTTTTCTGTTTTAAAAATTTGCTACAGTGATTAAAAATAGTATACTATTTTCTATTTGTACAGTTAATAATTTTGGATACTATAGTGAAAAGATGAGTAGTAGAGTGCTACAATGTCTGGATGCAAGTTTTCTAGTGCGAATTCACTAAACAACTATATTTCGTTACTATAGTCTAATGGAGCTATTTATTTTTTTATAATATTCATTTATTAAATTGTAGATTAAAGTGTAAGATAAAGTTAATTTCCCCGATTTTGTTGAAAGTTTTCATTTTGTTCATATCTATGTATATTGATAATCATCAATGTTGTTAAATAACCCGCCTTAAAAATGAGTAAATTTGGTTCTTAAAAGTTTCGCACGTCTTGAATAATGTTTTTTGTCTGGCTAACAGGTATTAAAGTCTGTAATTCAGAAATAATCGTAGGATTTTACTCAGTTTCACTAATTAAAATATGCATATTTTGAATAACTTTGGTAAAGTCAAGTATAATAGTATTGATAATAACTGCATTGAATAAGTTTGTAAAATGCCGAAAGAACCAAATGATTGTACAAGTTTAAATTGTGTAAAAGTAGTTGTGTAAAGTCTTTTCACATCTTTCACCATCTATATTGGTCATCATAAGGGTTAAATTATTATAAATAAGCTTTTCAGCACAAATTGTTTTAATAAAATCGATTACTTCTTTATGTCTATTAACTACCAAAAGTTTGAAACTGAAATTATTATTACGTGCAGATATTTTTTCTATTATTGTTAGTAATTTTTACACCTGCCCTGAAATTCTTGACAAGAGCCTGAAATAATATTTATTATTATTGATTACGGCTTGCTTATGAATAAATAAAATGAATAAATAATGGACAACAAGTAAAACTGTAGGTTCAAAAAAAAAATACTTTAAAAATACCAACTCTTCTGACCATTGATCAAGGTAATGTAGTAACTTGCCCTGGCACTGTAGTGTAGTGTACTTTTCTGGCAAGTGGCTTTGGATAATCCTCGAGGCGGCTTTTGTATTTGTCTTGAATGCGTTATTGGTCTGTGGGGTATTAGAGATGTCTATTAGTAATTTATTTTTGCATCTTTGAATTTTTATTATCTACTGAATTTTTGAAAATGTAGGAATAATTCACAGTTTACCGTTAGATTCTCAAGATGCAACCATTTAAAGTACCTACTTACATAACTATAAATAGTAATTATTATCAAATAACACACTGTCGGTTTCTAATTCCATCCTGTGTCCCGATTTCTTAGTCGCAGTACTACCGAGCGATCAGCGGGAAGCTCAGGACCCCCCTCGATCTTTTTAAATGAGCCAGCGACGCGTTGACCGCTCAGCGCAATCATTTTCAGTGTTCGCGCCGTCAAATTCGCCCGATCGCCATATATCTGCGCTATTTGCAATGTTCGCTTTCGATATGTGCAGCATTTTTGCACGGGCCAGGGCATCCTGTAGTAGAATCATAACTAACGCATTTGCGGATAATTTGATTTATGCGATCGTAAGGGTTCGATACCTGGTTCAAGCTGCCTGATATCAAGCGGTTTTCACTTGGAAATATAGATAGCAATATGTTACCGAATGAAAATAGTCCTCATCCGGCATTGCTGCGACAACAAAATTGCATAGAGAGATGGGATTGATTGATTGAGAGATGGGATAACTGTTTGGGTTGCCATCTATAATAAAATTACGTAGCTAGTAAGTAATTCATCACAACAGCTTATAGAGCACTTATGTTCTGATCGCAGTTCAAATAAAAAAAAACAGTTGTTACGTTAGGGTAGAGCGGGGTTAGTTGAGCATAGGGGCAAGTTGAGCAATCGAAATATCTCGAAAACTATTCACCGTCCGTTTAGGCATTATACGGCGGAAAGATAGAGGTATGGGAGAAATAAACATCCCGCGATTGCTAGTGGCCGCTTGACAATTGAGTGGGGTCACGGGCGTTTTGTTTATTTTGAGACCAAAAAGTAGAAAAGTAATTCATCACGAGTTTTCGTCTGGTTTAGTCAAATGTTATTTATCTTTAATCAGGTATTTTCAATCAGGTAAATTCTTCCATATAATTATAGTACTTTTAATATGCACAGAGACTCTGGGTATAATTCTCACGATTTTTTTATAAACTCACTTTTATTTTGAAATTCTGAGTTGGGGTTAGTTGAGCATAGTTGCTAAACTTGTTCTGTCTCTAAGACAATTACCATTAACTTCCAGAAATTTATTATTATTTTTAAGATTTAAGCTAACTCTATGAGTAATAATATAAAGAAATAATGATTTTAAACAAAAATACTGAATATAATAGTAAAATAATTCCTAAGATACGATATTGTTTTGTTAATTCTACTTTTCGTTAATTATTCAAAGCAAATTACTATAAGTTTTGTTTTCTCTGTCAATAAAGACTGTAAATATAGAACTGGTTATTAAAAACTTATTTTATTTCATCACTAATCGACATTGAATCTATAATTTAATTATACTTTCTTAGTGCTCAACTTGCCCCACCTATGGGGTACATTGAGCATACTTGACTTTTTGCATTTAAACAGCTGTTGCTTTTAAATTTTACTTATTGTTAAAAAATAGTATTAACACTTTTGTTAAGCGTTAAACAACAAATGCATTAAGCCGTATAGCAATTTATTGAGACTTTTCATTAAGGAGCTACATCCGTTCAAGTAAAAATTTGCTCAACTAGCCCCGCCCTACCTTATGTCATAACTATTAGATTGGCAACTAAGTAAGTGCGGTTTTTAACTTAGATTTAATTTAATTTATTTAGTTAAAATGAAAATACCTTTTAATAATAGATTGCAGGCAATTGAGATGTCCATCAGTGAAAAAGAGATTTTTGATCGATTGCGTGGCTTTCTTTTGGCCTATTTCTGCAAAAATACGTAGACATCTTGAGATCACAAAAAGGTATAAGCTGTTTATGGTGACGA